ATATACAAAAGCTTGTTCAGTATGTTATTTTCTGCTTCTTTCTGACCGCCTTGCTTTCAATATGTGATGTGAGTATCAGACTCTCCAGGCCTACTTTCTTTGTGTGTCTTAGAAAATTCAACAGTCTCCTGATTTTAATCAAAAGTATTATTTTCGTTCCCATTTACCCTAAAACTTCCTCATTGTCCACATGTAGCGTCCGTGGTATTTTCTGAATCATCATATAGAACTGCATTTCTGTTACTTCAAGTTTCGTCTTCATCTACAAGAAATTTTTCTAGGATTCACTGTCATATAGGAAAATTGATATTACAGGTCCTGTGAGTGTCAAAATTTCCAAACTCTCTTTTTGTGGGCGAAATTGGGTAGCCGCCAATGGTTGTGCTTGCATGAAAGCATAAGTTATCACGGTGAATATTTCAAACGCACTGGCCCTGTTCAATTACCAATCACATCAGATTATTTGATCTCTCCCGGAAAACAGTAACTAAGGCCCGCTCAGCACCCTTGCAGTCTAAACCACAACTGGGCTCTGTGGATGCTGAAGAGACACAAATGTACCTGAGCAGACGTCTGCCACAGGTATTAGTTAGCATACGCACACAGAGGTACACACATACAGACATCTTCTGTTTCACACACACACACACACACACACATATATATATATATATATATATATATATATATATATACAGGGTCTCCCAAAAGTTGCACTACTATTGGAAAGCTTTGTAAATTTATTTATTTACCGAATTAAATAATGTTTCTATATGTAAAAATATATCATTAGGTAATTTTATTGGTCTAATTATGGAAGATGAATACAACGGGTTGACACAAGCCTTGTGAGTGAATTTCGATAGCCGTGCTAGCGTGAAGTCACAAGTCATTGTGGCTGAGGGTTTGAGCATGCTCGTCCAGTTCAAATTGTTGATCACAGTAGATAACACTCTTTTTCTTAGGTACTGTAACTAAGGTCTGCTCAGCATGGTTGCATTATAAACCACAGCTGGTCTCTGTTGGTGTTGAATAAACACAAACACGCCTGAGTGAGTGTTTGCAGTGCGGATTGGCTAGCCGTTCTAATAGACAGCTGGCCTCAAGTACGAGTGACTTGCTATTATTATTTATTTTGCGGACGCCTAATATTCGAGGGTCCTGCATTAAATATATTCAATCTATCTGGTGAATTCTACATTTTGGGAGTGCCGCATCTTTAATTATTCATCATTTCCCGTAAGATTATATCAAGGCCGGTAAATCTCGTTAGAATCATCTGCCTCATATATGTATTTGATAGAATTTTTTTGTATGAATTTCTGGAAAGAGGGGTTATCATTATTTATAATATTTATAATATTTATATCCAGAATATTATCATCTTTGTTGTTGTCGTCATCAGGTGTGTAACGATCTTGTTAACCTCCAGGGAATTCTGAACTGAATCCTTTATTTATTCTTCGGGAAAGATTGTTCTCGTCCCATTGTTCATGTCTAGGGGTATCGTTTAGTTTTGGAGTTTGCTTCTATTTTTTTCTTTTTTAATTTAGTATTGTTCAGTTATTTATCGCCCGTTTTCACTTCCCTATCCAAGGATTGATCTCAAAACTGCTATGTCACCAAAGTCACAAACCAACGCTTTTACCTACATCTTTTTACAAACTGGACCATTTTTTACCCACACGGCCACTATCCCTAAAGACAATAGTCCGAATATAAATAGCGTAAATAATACTGATAGAGGTTACATAATTGACTATCTTATAATCTGTATTCCTAAGCGTGTAAATAATTTGCGATTTAATATCTTTTTAAATTTTAGGCTCCCCTTATAACATATGCTACAGGCCCTAATCTACTAACCTAATCTAAAAATTGATTATTGCTGCCATATCTGAGCTGGAGTTATCTAATCCAAACTTCCAAGCCTTAATATAGTTCTACTTCATTTTTGCGGGCTTGTATATGTTTGGGGTTGGGTGATATATTTTTCTTCCTGTAGCCTCTTTCCCACAGGCGTAATATCGCAAGCCAGTTGCTGTTCTTTCACTATTTCTATGGTATAATATTCGAATGAACTGCATTGTTTAGTTCCGCCAATTGAGACCTTTATAACTAAGACTCACCATGCTACATCATGAAGTCGAACAACGCTTATTCCCCTGCGTTCCATTAGCTCTTCTAAGACAACGTTTCTTCTTTATCCAACAACCATTGATCTGTGAAACATATTCCCGCGTCGATGTTTCTCAAAAGACTAAAATCTTAACCTCTTTTAATCCAAGGGTCTATATTTAGCTATCTTCCCTATCTACATATTTCTTACTTTCTCTTTCCTATTCTTATATTCATATACAATAAGTTATTCAGTAACGCTCTACCTGAAGTATCCTTTAAACTTTGTATTGGGGAAACACGAGTAGAATAAAATAAAATAAAAATCCAGCCCTTATCCTTGTTTTACTCAAGTGCATATTTATTATTACCTCTCTATGTTCTATATAAATTCATAATTGTCCTGTTTTATCATCGTAGATTACCCATCAGTATAATTGCAGTATCAACCACAGATTGGCTCTATAGTTGGTGAAGAAGCACAATGGAATTTTGCAGGCGGTCATTCTCGAAAACGAGCAGCCATGTTGAAAACGAGAAATAACATTCATTTTCAGTGTGTCTTCAAGTCGAAACAGCTTCCTATTTTTTTTAATAAAGCTCTGAATCTCTCTTCATTAGATTTTCTGGATGTCAACCGTACCCTGAAATAGGTTTTACTTAGTTGAATATTTAATAAAATATTTATTCAAGGCTTCTTAAATGGTTTGTCGAATATTCTTGTAAGTTAACAACGTTTAGAAGGGCTTCGTAATAAATGAGTCAAAGTATTAAACATGTGGAAAAACTCCATTGTATATAATTCCTATCTGCCCTGATTTAGAACCTTCAAAACGTTTCAATATTTTTTGTTATGAAGGTAAGCGAACTGATTACGCCAAACAATTAGAATTAGACGAGAAAATAGGAAAATGCGACACCGATATTGGAATTACAGAGTATAACTTTCAAAAAACTAAGCAAAGTATTAAGAAACAGGAAAATGTTATTAGGAACAAAGAAAGGAGTGCTGAACTGCTATGTAGCGTCAATCCTCCTATATGACAGAAGAAGTTTGAGAATACCATGGACGGTGCATATGAGCAATGATGAAGTTTTAAGCAAATAGGAAACAAAAGAATCCTTATAACCCACTGATTAACCCACCTGACGAATTTGAACATACTGATGGCAGAATATGGACTGGAAGGGATATTAAAATGACAAATATTGCTAAGCGCTACAAAGGATAGGAAGTTGCGTAGAGCCATGATCACCAACGCCATAAAGGACACTACTTACATACATCAAGCACGTCTATCTGCTCAAGCACGTACGCACACCTGATTGCATACCATTCTGTGTGTATCTGGGTGCTTACTATCTATCCCTCTTTAAATATATAGCTATAGTTATACAGTTATAATTTACATATATTAACATTTATATAGATATAATAAATATCAACAACAGACAGGCTGTTTCGCTGTATTACAGCTCATCAGTGTAGATAGACATTAAATTGCCTCAAGCCAGGATCGAGACCTGACTGATTTGCCTATCAGCTCCTGACAGAGAGGAAGGTGAATTTTTACGTATTTATTTTTAACACGCCAGTGATTCAGAGTGCTCGATTCATAGAAGACCTATGCAGTATCAGCAGTAGCAGTCACTGTTTACAAATTTGCGCTTACCTTCTAGTTATACAGTTATAATTTATATATTAAAATTTATATAGATATAATAAATATATTGTCATCCACAGACAGACTGTTTCGCTGTATCACAGCTTATCAGTGTGGCTAGACATCCAGTTGCCTCAAACCAGGATCGAAACCTGGTTGATTTGGCTATCAGTTCCTGGCAGAGAGGAAGGTGTATTTTGTTACGTATTTACTTTTGTATAAACACGCCGGTGACTCAGAGTGCTCGATTCATAGAAGAGCTTTGCATTATCAGCAGTAGCAGTCACTGTTTACAAATTCGCGCTTACCGTCTAGTTATGCAGTTATAATTTATTTATTAAAATTTATATAGATATAATAAATATGGTGGTATATGAAAAAAATTGCGATAAAGAAATGGGTGTGATCAACTCAATATAAAAAAAATGCAATATTAGTGGGGAAAGTGCATGATAAAAAACAAAGAATTATAAAAAAATATTTGGAAATATTTAAATTCTCTGGTTCTTTGGTAAAACAACAGGAAATTTGTGAGAGGATACTTTTTCAGATTAGAATTCATCAGACTTTTCTCGAGCCAGTATATTTGTCAGAAGCAAAAAATATTGATATTTTTTTATCATTTTAGAAAGTGAGTTCTGTTCCTAATATAGATGCAGTGTGAAATCCATTTTTACCGAGTTATCTGTACTTTATTTTTAATTGCAAATGTACAGATGTTTTCGTTTTTCTCATTTCGTTATAGTTCGCAGTTACCTCATGATTTCAAACTTAATATTTCATGATTGATTCCTTCATTCATTAATACATTTTCCGCGGCTCATAAAATCGTTGCAGTTTATTTAAAGCCAGAAAAAAAATCATTAGATAGTGTAATATAACAAGAACTCCACTTAGAAGCTTATGAAACCTCATTTTACTAATTCATCTTTAGAGCTTAAATCATTTATTTTATTATAGTGGATGGTTGCAAGCGAGAGGGGCGATGGTATCTGCTTATTTTATTACCACAGATTGTAAGATTTTTTTTTAGATAGTAAGGATTTAGTGATAAAAGACTTACTAATTAATCCATAGCTGGTGGGAGATGGGGTGAATTTATACCTTTCCCGAGGGTATTTGCGCGTAAGTGAATATAAGGAATCAGACTCGAATTAGAACTCGGCTGTCTGATTCCAATTTCGAGCCATTATTCATGACAGCATTCGTACATCAAAGCTTACAGCACCTGGAATTCCTAAGCCGTCACCCATCTGGGTACTGACCAGGCTCGACGTTACTTAACTTCTGTGTTTGTACGAGAACCGGCGTTTCAACATGGTGTGGCCGTAAACCTTTGACACTTCAAATGAAATCTCTTTATAAAGTCAGGGTTTGATTTGGCACTGTATTGATATTACGAACAGGACTCCCCGATTCTGAAAGTAGAAAATGCAATGTTTTCCAATCCTGATAAATTTCGTTGCTTCAGGAAGGTCTGAAGAATGTAATCTACAAAAACCCTTCAGACAAAAATATTCCCAGTTTGTTACGAACGGAGCGGAGAGATTTTATATAAGATATATAGCAAAAAAAAAAAAAAATACGAATAAACACGTAAACGTGGGAAAAGGTTTCAGAATGTAAGCAAAATCATATGTCAGGTTTAACGGTTTCTTTTTATAACAGATATACATTAAAGAAAATGCATAAATCTTTTTACCTTATTATCACATTGTGCCTGTTGTTAAAAATATTTTTAAAACCGATTCGCCTTTTCTGACACAAAAAAATTATTGCGAGTCTCTTTAGTCAATACAAGAATTGTTTTAAATAGAGACGTGTTCCATTACTTCAACAACACTATACGTTTTTCGGTAAACACATTAATACCTACCGATGAAAAGTTTACAACTATCAAACACGTATTTGCTAAATATAATTAGTACAGCCTCTTTAAATAATGCTATGGTATTTTGTAATGAACTGCTTACAATATACTGGTATAAGTACTTTATAATAATATGGAACACATGTGTAATAACGTGTAGTATAGCTGAAAGATTAAGTTAAAAGAAAGGAACACAAATGACGGCTACTATTTTCTGCTTTTAGTTTAAATTTTTAAAATCAAGTAAGAAAACAAAAATTGAAATATAACAAAAGTCTAAGAAAAAATAAAATAGTTTGCTATTTAAAAAGTTTTTTATTGCTCAATCCCAATTCGAGCTCAGGAAAATAATCTTAATAAAGCCATTCACTAAAATAGACCCTTTGTTAATCTAGAATTCGGCTTCAGGCATTAATACGCTGACCGTGTATAAGCAGTACAAAGTTACACTTGTTATTTTCATTACTTTTATCCTTATTATTGCCTCAGAAAACTGCTATTGTTGGCTATATTGTGAATGCTGGTCCTTTGACATCGCAAAATGGCTACCTGGCATGCCAGAGTTCTCTCCCCTGCTTCCTTGCTCTCTTTCCGACTCTACTGTGATAAACAAACGAAAAAAAAAAAGATAGAAAAATGCTGATTTATTATCTCTTTGTTTTCAGATGCAGAGATCTGATGTCTGTCCGGGATGCTGACAACAAATATGCAGACTTCTCCAGATTTTAATCACGGGTTCTTTATGAGCGAATGAATGATCTAGCAATAATTATGGGCTGCTGTGTCTGGACACGCTATTTACCCTTTAACTCATCCATGGCGAAACATTCTGCTATGTATTTTGATTGAAATTCGGTTAAAGTTATTTATTATGCACAATTGTTAATAACCAGGGCATTTTGTCTGACCCCCCCCCAAACATTGATATACATTACAAAGAAACAGACTGCAACGCAATATTGGTCACTTTTTACACTAATTACTATTTTTGACATTTTTATTATCGTTATCAGCGACCAAGAATTTATAGTTGGTTTCTTTGATGTCATTTTAGACAATGCATGCAATTTAATTATTATCGATCGTTTAATAATCATTATGAGTGGAATATATTTCTGCCAATACTATGAGTAATCACCAAAACCTTTCCCTTTTTATACAGCTGGCTTTAAATTTAAAGTAAATGCTTTTTGTTTTCTTGAAGAAAATTATAATGTTATCATCATCATTATTATTAAAAATTTATTGCCATTATTATATATTTTATTTCCATCTTGCCTTCTAAATTTCTAGAGGTCCACAATTGCCATAAATAACCTACACGATTTTGAATTGGTTTAATTACATTTTGAATTATTATTATTATTATTATTATTATTATTATTATTATTATTATTTTTTTTTTTTTTTTGCATGTATCCATGTGTGTTTTTGTACTTGACTGAGTCAGTAAACCTGATGTTTTGTAATAAGATTAACGTGTCTGTTTCTTTTTCTTTCAATTTAAGACAAACGAAACGGTCTCGAGAGTTAAATGATAAAATAAGCAAACAAGCAATTTAAATAAAGACAAAAATAAACATCCATCCGTCTTTTGTTTTTCTGTTGTTTCAATTTATTGACGAACAGTGTTTCTGTTTTCCCAGATTCACACCTATTTTAATGAATTTTCACTTGTTTTTCAGCGGTTTTGCTTTCTTCACTGCTCTCAAACATGTTTAATTTTTCTTTTTCATTGAAACTAAAATGGTAAAATATTCACTTTGTTACTTTTCTTTTACTATCTTCATTTGTTTTATTGTCTCTTTCCGTCGCAACGTTTCGGCCAATGACTTCACGGATTATTTTATAGGCGAATGTTGTCATCTACTGCCTTTACGATTACTCTACTTTGCATTGTCATTTTGGCCATGTTGCCCGAAGCTTTCTTGATAAGGAAGGTTTGTGTGGAAAAGAAAATTAAATGAATGAATTGTCCATTGTTTCAGGAAAAATAAACTTATCGTTCTCACACAAGTAATGTGTGAAACAAATTCTAACAGCAAAAATGAATCCTTTTTATGTTATGCTATATACTTTAAAATTTATTTGATCAGAAAGTTCCCTCGAAATGTTTCCTTTTATGTTTACATTAAATAACGTAGAGAAATATTTTCTTTAGTTTATATATATATATATATATATATATATATATATATATATATATATATATATATATATATTGAGAGAGAGAGAAAGAGAGTTGACATAGGAATCAACGTGTCATGGTGATTGTCAATTTTTCAGGCTTCAATGATATATTGGTGTGAAGATTGCAATAAAAGAGAAAATGACAGTTACACTGTAAACGCTTCATCTAAAATACTGAGAACACTACTCATATAAAACTTATGATATATATATATATATATATATATATATATATATATATATATATATATATATATATAGATAGATAGATAGATAGATAGATATAGATATATACATATATATATTTAAGTTATGAAGAATTTGGTAAAACGAATTGGTAAATCCAAGGAGGATGAAATCCTGAGAGCTCAATGTGAAGAACAGAGCTAATATTTAATGAAAAACAGACCACTTTAAGGTACCATTACAATAATTTATTTCACCAAAATCCTTTTTAAAGGATTTTGGATCATCAGGTAACACTTCCAACAATGAAAAAAAAAGTGCTCAATATCAGTGATAGAGCTAACATATTTGGTTGGATTGATGTGAGTTTGTGGCCCTGGGTTTCACGCTTGAAAACCAAGGTCAAAACTCACATCAATCCAACTATATATATATATATATATATATATATATATATATATATATAGAGAGAGAGAGAGAGAGAGAGAGAGAGAGAGAGAGAGGGAAAGGAGTGTGAGAGAAAAACGTTTGGCGAACAGAAAGTGTATGCTAAACAGTATGAATTTATTCAAACGTATTTTATTGAAATTGTTTTATTTTTATTACATTTTAATCCTTTTTGCGTGTAACCAATGGAACGTTCGGATTGAAATATGTCCTCGAAAGCCTTCAAAATGTATAATCTTTTTGTTGGTGTACTTAATGTATTTGTATGTGAACCACCTCCCCCCCCCAGTCATTACAAAGAATGTTAACGTTACCAGTTTCAGTACAGAAATGTTTTGATTAATTTCTCACTGGTTGTTTTAGAAACGGTCGAATTTTGAATTAAATGTAGTCATTTCGAAAGCAACCTACGTCATGTGGTGAACGGCTGGTAAGTAAGTGCAAGTGATAGACATTTTAAATCTTTTGGGAAATTAATCCGTAAGGCATCCCATTACTTCTCAATGCCTAAAGGCCAATTTTCTTTTTAAATTAAAATAATAGTAATATATCTTCTGCTTTGATGAAAAAAAAGTTATTTTATTTAACGTAGGTGATATATATATATATATATATATATATATATATATATATATATATATATATATATATATATATATAATATATCGCACTCTTTATGCAAGCAATAAATAATAAGAATGCAGAAATCATGGAATGGACTTAACGTATTATATATTTAATGCGTTAAGTCCATACCATTCTTATTATTTATTGCCTGCATAAACAGTGTGAAGGTTGTATATATATATATATATATATATATATATATATATATATATATATATATATATATATATATATATATATGAAGAAATGTATTCTTAAGGTGTGCTATATTTATAGAATAAAGTGTTCAGTATCAGAGATAGAGCGTATTTAATTATAAATATCAAAGTGAACATTTAAGTCAACACTTAGAGACGACAGGCTGTTTCATGCTAGATGCAATCGTCAGTCCCGTCGATTGCGTCTAGCGTGAAACAGCCTGTCGCCTCTAAGTGTTGACTTAAATGTTCACTTTGATATATATATATATATATATATATATATATATATATATAGATAGATAGATAGATAGATAGATAGATAGATAGATCATAACTCCTGGGCTTTTGCAAAATACTTGAAGCTGTTCATGTACATATATATATATATATATATATATATATATATATATATATATATATATATATATATATATATATATGTGTGTGTGTGTGTGTGTGTGTGTGTGTGTGGTTGGATTGATGTGAGTTTGTGAACCTGGGTTTCACGCTCTCCGCGATCGTCAGACAAACTGATTAATTTTGCCATTTTGGATTTATTTACCGTTGTATATATCGGTGTTTCATGGTAGTGGGAAAAAACATTGTCATCAGAACGCCACTCATACGTACGCAGGCACGCATATACGCACGTCGACGCATTGCAGCTCACACAAAAATATAAACATATATGAACAGTGTGGGACTGGACGTATATGCGCATCCATGCGTCGTTGCGTGCATACTTACGCAATTTGTCGCTGTATTCAATGTTGGATTTTTTAGCGAACTTCTTCCGCAAGTCGTAGTGTCGA